TGCTCCTGAAGACAAAATTGTATGTGTCAACCTGGATTCCTTTCTCATGAAGGACAAGTGCAAGTCTCAAACAGCCCATGTTGTCCCCTCTAAAACAATATATACTTTAAAAGATGTTGTTTTTTTGTTGGTATTGAAATTTCTGCAGCTAGTCCACATTGTTTCTGCACGTGGAATAGATAACAATGCTTCCTCATCAGGCACTGGAATAAAAACTCTTGGGCTCTAAGAGACAAAAATTCTAATAACTATCTTTGTGATGGTGCTGGTTGAGTTCTCTATCAGGACATGCCCAAGGTATTATGGCTGCTAGCAAAATAGAAATATTCCTCAGTATTTTTAATATGCTGAGCGTATTCCAAAAGGAGGGCAAATCATAATTAATTAATTGAACCTCAGTCTTGCCTTTGCATAATTGCAACTTCAACTAAGTAAAGCAATTGCTCCCTCTGAGTTAGCATCTCTTTGCAAAACTGACTTCACATTTACCTGACCAGCTCTTCTTCGCGTAGGGCTTTCAGTAGAAATGAAATATTTGCTTTTGCAGTACCCTTCACTCTGCTTTCTGAATATTCAATGTGTTTGTTTTCCTAGAGGGCTAGAGATCCCTGGACAAAGGGTTCAGCAGGAGAGAGTGCAATAAAAAGAGGTTGTGAGTCTTTAACCTTGAGCCTGATAATCAATGTGAACCCAATTCTGGTACTTGGCTTAGATAAAGCCAGGTAAACATTCGAGTATAAGCCCATATCCTACCACTCTAGTTCAACTGAAAATGGGTTATCGATACTGCATTGTGAGGAGGGATAGTCTATACTTGGCCAGAATGATTATTTTTCTTCAAATGGAGGTAAAAATCTGTTAGTGTTTTATCCTTTGTTTGCGACTAGAACTATTGAAGTCTTGCTTTCAGCAAATCTGAAAAACTTTTCATTGCAGCAGCAGAAAAGAAGAAAGTGGAAACTAAAAGCCATGTCAGAATGTCCTGAAATGTGATTCCCCACCCTTACCCCAGTCCTTTGTTAAGAACATTTTTCTGTTGTCTCCATTCCTGTAAGAAAATTGAACCATGTTTCTTGCTGTTTATCATTTCTTTTCATTAGCTGTCTCCATTACATAATCGCCATCTTTATGATATACATATTTTCTGGCGTGTTTCCATACAATATATGTGCACAGAAAGCAGGTCTGCGAAGTTTCAAAGATGCCATGTAATAACCTAATCTGCATTTACCTTCACAAAATCTCTGAATGGAGATTCAGTTATTCTTTTGTATAAAAGTTAAATGTGATTCTATAGATCCTAATTTAATGTAAAGATCAGCAAATAGAAAGATCTTTGGAGATGATATTCTTTGAATTTCCTGGATTTTGTGTATGCAGAATTGCTAAAGTGTGCCTCATTCTAAGAGTTTCACAAACTAGTTTGGGAACAAGGCAATGTCAAAGCAATATTTGCATATTCTTTTAAAATTGACTAGATGCATACTGATGCCTCTTAGAATCTTCTACACTGAAAGTCAAACTAATTTGGCCATGGCACATTATTTCTAGAAAAGAAATAAAAAAAATGGATACAATTGCAATTTAAGCAACAGCTTATTCTGCCACTACAGATGATAGTTGCCTGCAATACTTCATGAGGGTCTTTTCACTTTACAGCTATATGTGAAAGAGAGCTTCCCATCTACACATGAATCATCCTTGCTTAACTTCTCCCAACTTTATAGGGAGCAAACATTATTCTTTACTCTGCATCTTGAGGAGGAATAATTCAAAAGATTTTCCTAAAAAAGAAGAAACACATGGGCCAAATGCAACCCAGACTCCTAGTAGCCTCTAGACCCATGATGGCGAACCTATGACATGTGTGCCAAAGGTGGCCTGCAGTCTCTGTGGGCACACACGGAGTTGCCAGCTGCTCTTCTGGTTTCTGGCAGTTTTTGCATGCCAGAGCACCGGAAACCTGAAGACCAGGTGGCCAGCACGCGCGTGCACACCAGCCAGCTGATCTTTAGGTTTCCGGTGCTCTGGCATGTGCATGTGCTCTGCTTTGGGCGCTCGATGCCAAAAAGGTTCCCCATCACTGCTTTTGACAGCTTCCTAAAGTTAGATCACTGATACAGCAATGGAGGCAGAATGACGAATAAAGTTTTGTTTGTATCATTTCTATAGCCTAGTGATGTGGTCCACCAGATAGATTATTTTTGGACTATACCAAGAAGGTGTTCACTGGATTATCTTGCCTATCCTCTTTCTTAATCATTGCTTCCAATGCCTATAGTAAACATAGTAACAGCCCTCCAAGCAAAAGATTTCTGAGTGCTTATTAAAAGTTTTTGGCAGTGGTTTGCTCTTCAAGCTTGTTTCAATTTAGTTTCTGAATGTTTCATTACCAGACTAGGTAATATCATCAGCAGGATTTTATAAACTAAAGGAGAACAGGACAAGAAAATCCTGCTGCTGATGCTACCTAGTCTGGTAACAAAATGTTCAGAAACTAAACAAGCTTGGAGAGCAAACCACTGCCAAAATCTAAAACCCGAACTGCAAGTATTTTCTCTTATTTCAAAACACATTAATAGTATCCCAAAAATGCAAATAGCTTGTGAGGAGATCTTACATCTAATACATATAAAGTAGTCCTAAATGTTTATAATTGCTCTGTGACTCCAGACCACATTCTTTGAAACACAGATTGTCCCTGATGAGTTACAGACAAATGAATGTCTTTTGAAATTATTTGTGCAAAAGACCCACAATTTTTTAAAATTAGAATTTAAACAGAATTAACTGTTCAATTTTTCTATAGAATATACAGGCCTATAGAAATGTAACATTGGAATAACAACTATTAAGTGGACAGGGATAATTCCTTTCTCAGCCTGTTTTCTCTCTCTGTCAAGATGAGCTTTCATACTGGGCATTTTCTGTTTCAGAGTTCTTTGGTCAGAGTATGAAGTAGTCAAATGCCCATTATGTTTCTCCTACCATAAATGCTTGAACAAGAAAAGACCTTAGGGATCATTTCTGAGAAGAGTTCCCCAATACATAGATTAAGTGCAGTATTACCAGCAGATGTAGTTTTGGTCAAGGGGGGAAATGTTTTAACCAGCTGGTGCATATATGCAAGATTGAAAGGACAGCAAGAAACTGGAAATGTGCTTGGCCTATTGTGTGTCTGCAGCAACTAACTTTGAAGAGTTCACAAAAAGAACTTTGAAGACTTAGAAACTTTTATGTGTGAGGAAAACTGTTTGCTTTCCTTTCCCTTTTCTCATTTTGGCTTTGCAACAGTAGTTAAGTCCAAAATTTCACTGGCTCTTCAAGTTCTAGATGCAATCACAAGTAAATTTAGACGCTACTGATGTGATCTCAGTTTTTCTGATAAGTTTTTTTCTAATCGAGGGCCACATTTTAAAGCAGGGGTTTGCAACTGTAGGAAGTTTTAAGAGAGTTTCCAGACACAATGATGCCACTAGAAGAGGTAGGACTGGATTTTTTTTTAATCTTTAAGATAGTTCCAGTCTCCTCACCAGCTTTAAATCCTGTAGCCTGCAGTGTGGCTGCAATGACCTTGTTTAAGGCATGAGCAGTATTGTTTCATTCACCCTATAATTAAGGGCCAAGCAAAATGCCCAGAAGTCACAGGATTCATTTATAATCATGATACATTTCTCAACAGTGCACATATTTTACCATTCTGGTTTTTATTCCTTGGTGATTTTTTTTTTACCTTCAAGAAACACCACTTTTCTCCTTGGTAGTGGGAGAATATGAGACATTTAAAGCACTCTTCTTTGAAGGAGAACAGAACAGATGGATCAGTTCTCACCTCAGATGTCAGCAGATGTAGAAATTGGTCTGTTGTATTGCCATAATTCTATCTAATAAAACCTATTGCTCACTTTTCTCATCTTATAATTTACTAAGAGAAAAGCAGGAAAAATACACTGAAACAATTAAATGGTCATAGTTCGAGAGCTGCAGAACTGACATAAAAATATACCTTTACTAACTTACCTTTATGAGTCATATTTGCAAGGCTTACATACTTCATCTGTATGAAGTAATCTGATGTTTTATAATTCCATTATATGAAACCTGATAATCACAATATATAATAAATTATTACATAGGATTTTTTTTAAAAAAATGGCTAGAACATTGGGTTTATACTCGAGTGTTTACCTCACATATGCATGAAAAATAAATAGAAGTTGATCAACAGTTTCATGTTCACATTATCCAGGCTTTCAAGTGTAGTTGTTGTGTGCCAGTTAGCTGTGTTTATGTGATAACAGACTTTTTCCTAGCATGTTTTTGCCCCAATATTTTGTCTGCTTGGCTTCTTCTTCTTCTTCTTCTTTGTTGTTGTTGTTGTTGCTGTGCTCCTGGCTGCTTCATTTATTTTGCTTTATTTTATTTTATTTGGAAAAAAAGACGGTCATTATTTTTTGGGGTTCTTACATTTGGCTCCTGTGTTTGTCTCTCATACTTTTCCATCCAATTGTGTCTTGTGTTTTGTGCTTTCTTGTTTGAGATATGCAATTTATTTTGTCTTATACTTTTCTGTACAAAGGAATACTGTAAAAAAACCACACCAAGGCTTTCCTTCTTACTCACTGCAAAAAACGATAAAGATGCATGGTACTACATTTGCTTTGGAACTAACATGGCTTGTCTTTTACTAGGAATGTACCACATGAGTGGATTTCGCTTTCTTTAACCAGCGCTTCCCATCAGTTCTGGAAACAGGTCTGATGGCTTTAAACTCATATGGTCTTAACATTGCAGTTCATACAGATGCTCAAAATGTACAAAGCTGAGCCTCTTGTTTATGCCTTTAGAATCCAGAGACTGTGAACTACAGCTGCCTGTGTGCCCTAACCATACATCACATTTTTTCACTCAATATCCCTTCCCCCAAGAATTGACATCACTCTGTGGTGCTTTCAAAAAGCAGTTGCCACTGACATCTCTCATCTTTTTCCTTCTCCCAGATCCGCGTCGTGAAGGCATTCCGTAGCTCTCTCTATGAAGGTTTGGAAAAACCGGAATCTAGAACCTCCATTCACAACTTTATGACTCATCCTGAATTTAGGATAGAAGATTCCCAGCCCCATATTCCTCTCATTGATGACACAGAACTAGAAGAAGACTCTGTCCTCAAGCAAAAGCCGAGTCCCCCATCTTCACTGAACAAGAACAATAGTGCTATTGACAGTGGGATCAACCTTACAACTGACACAAGCAAATCAGCTACCTCTTCTAGTCCAGGAAGCCCAATCCATAGCCTGGAAACATCACTTTAGCTGAAAAAGTCACTGCAAAAATATCAATATCAATAATAATAATATATAACAGAGACTAATAAGTATAAACAATGCTGGCTGAGAAGCTGTTTGAATTCCTGATCACTTTGAAGAAACAGATAAATGAATGCATCATTAGTCACAGTGATTTTTGGAAGAATGAATGGTTGATTGACATATTCCCCCTTTTGTCTCCTGCAGAAACAAACAAAAACAATACAAACGCTATCCTGCATGAATGTATTACCCACTTCAACCTGACCTCCTTTTTAATTCCTTGAACAGGAAAAGGAGAAGACTTATTTGAAGCTATTTATCCAATTCACCAGTTTGTGAGTTTTTTAAATGCTTGTGTGGCATGGACTCAGTTGTATAGATTAATTTAAATTTTTTTTTTGAAATTGCAAAGCTTAACTTGCACAATAGATTTGCACCAGTTGGCCAGAGGAACCTAAAATGAACATTTATGAAAATATATATAGAAATATATAAATAATATATTATAACTATATATATATATATAAAAAATATATCTCCATTATCTAAGCTTACACACATATACATATACTCATATATACTATATGTGCATGTGTGTGCACAAGTATGTATGTATATGTGTGTGTGTGAAATTATATATATATATAATGACATTATATATATATATATCATTATATATATATATATATATATATATATA